CGGCGACGGCCTACGCCCACTCGAATATTACAACAAATGCATGCCTAGTGTCAAGGTAGCCACTTCCACTTACATGCGCGAGCTTTATGCCTTGCGCATGGCATTGGATGACTGGAAGCACTACCTTTTGGGACGCCATTTCAAGGTCTTCTCAGATCACGAGACCCTGAAGTGGATCAAACAACAAACTACCCTGTCCCCTACCTTGCTTCGCTGGTTCCACGAGATTGACATTTTTTATTTTGAATCAAGGCATAAGAAAGGCTGTCACAACCGAGTAGCTGATGCTTTGTCTCCCCACCCACAGTACATGACTTGCCTTGAGCGGCTACGGGCTGATCCAGGCATATGACCTTCGGAAGAAACTGAAGGAGGAACTCGTAGAGCATACCGCCAAGGATCCGGAACTCGGTCCCATCCTTGAGCGGCTACGGGCTGATCCAGGCGGTCAGCCTGATTTTCATGAGTTTGAGGGATTGATCTTCCACCGCTACGAGAACCATAACCGTTTGTGTGTGCCCAACCATGAGCCTCTCCGCACATACTTTCTGGATTTGGCTCATGGCCAGAGCGGGCACTTCGGCATGGCAAAAACGTACGCTAATTTGCTGAGACAGTTTGATTGGCCTGGCATGAAAGGGACTGCTGAGAAGTTTGTGGCTGAATGTCAAGTTTGTCAACGGATCAAACCATGCCGACAAAAGCCCATGGGGCTACTCACACCCCTACCCATTCCCGATGGTCCCGGGGAGTCTGTCTTTATCGACTTCACTGACATGGGTAAGGTAAGCAAAAACGCACAAGTCATGGTGGTTGTTGACCGATTTTCAAAATTTCTTAATTTGATCCCTCTGCCGCCCCACGCCCCAATAGATCTAGTGATTCGTGAATTTCAACAGAAATACATTCTGCAATTCGGAGCCCTGAAGACTCTTGTGAGCGATCGGGATCCGCGTTTCATTAGCACTGAATGGAAGGATTTCACGTCTCACCTAGGAATCAAACTGTGCATGACATCTGGTCGACACCCCAAAGCCAACGATTTGGTTGAGGAGATCAACCAGACTGTATTTCAACTTCTCCGCGTTGATTATTCCGGACCAGGACACATGGGATGAGGAGCTGTATTCTGTTAGGGGATTCTACAACAACTTCGTCCATTCTGCCACCGCCATGACACCCAATAGGTTGCATTACGGTTGGCAGATCCGTAATCCGCTCTCCTACTTATTCCCTGAGCAGCCAGCTGGCTTAACACCTGGCAGGCCCGGCTTCAGGGCTAAGTATGATCGCTTGCTCAAAGTTGCTATTGCAGCTATGACCAATCGACAACATGCCATGATCCACCATGCGAACAAAAAGCGCCGACCATCGGAGATTCAGGTAGGAAGCTATGTCTGGGTAAAGATGTCTGAATTCTCAGAGGAGGAGGGAGTCTCACGCAAACTCCTCCCACTCTACTACGAGCCTTGGGAAGTTTTGGATGTAATTGGGGAAGATCACTATGGCCCTTCGTACGTTGTAGACGTGCCAGCTCACCTGCGCACGTATCCCGTGTTCCACGCATCCAAATTGTATCTCCACCGTGATGCCAAAATATTCGATTACCGCGAAGATATGATCCCTCGCGCAATCAAGGGCGGGCATGAGATAGATAGAATCAAACAGCATGTAGGTAAGGGGAGAAACAGACAGTACCAGGTTCATTTTATGTATCACCCGTTAGACGATCTGTACTGGATCTCCAAACAGGAACTGCTACGCAGCGCACCGCGCGTTGTTAAAGCCTACGAATGACAAATCGCTGCTAACGCCGCACCAAAGATCTCAGCAAGGCTCACTGCTACAGAGTATTCCAGGAATCTCTTTGCCTTGCTTGCCTACGATGCGTTTGCCGAGGACTCAGAATGAGTTACTCGCTCGAAGGGACCTCGCTCTTGAGCGGGGGTAGTGTGATAACCCGTCCAAACACAGACTGAAACACACAGCTGATTTCTGAGTTTTGCTCATTGACTGAATGCCCTACTCAGTTCCCGCCTGTGTGTGTGTGTGCTCGCTGGACTGCATTTCAGACAGTGCTGGTTGACTTGCGTGCGTGTGACTGTGCCTGTCTGCGTGCTGGTTGGTATGAGTGTGTGTGTGGCCCGCCAGGGCACTTGTTCGTTCGTTGGGCCCTCAGGGCCGGTACTTACCTGTGGCCGTGGCTTTGAAGGCTTGCAGCGGGGAAAAAGCACTCAAGTAGCAGGTAGGCCGGTGCCGCACCCGGCAGGGGGGTGAATATGCAGGTACCGGAGGCTGAGCAGAAGAAGACAAAAGTGGCATTTTGTGAGGCCGGTAGTGTAGGCTAGGTCTAGCGGGTACCAGTCTGAGTGTAGGGCCTGTAGGAGCAATATCAGAGTGCAAAGATGTTTCCTTCCAAAAGAGGAGGAGGTACCTGTTGCTTGGGAAGGCCAGCGGCCTGGAAGTCACCGCCCAAGAGGCAAAGCAGGCCGCTATATCTTCAGGCCGGGCGGAAGACC